TTTTACCACTTGGCTTGGAAATTCTGTTCAAGTTGGAACTCACCTTTTGAACTTAAATAAAATGTCAAGTTGTGGATGTGTTTACGATGTTCCCTTTCAATATGATAAGGTCTACATTGGATCAAGGAAAAAAGAAAGGAGAGCATAACCTGATTTAAGAAATAAACAATGAGTAACAAGAACGAGTTAAAACGAAGATGAAGAATCTTTTAGAATCAAATCAGAATCCGAAAATAACTATAATCGTGCAACACTATGTAGTTATAAAACATGAATATATTGACAGCACAGCAGCTTTATCTGTCACGAAAAGAGCTGTAGATTAAGGAAGATCAAAGAATCTCTGTTCATCCAAGTCCACAGATCTTTGAACAGACCTGAGCAACATATGGACGTCAGAGATTAATGCAAAATTGTCAGCATATATCCCTGCATGGCCTCTCATGATGGTAAATTTGGCCTCTACGATTTGACTTTTACTAAATTTGCTTTTATGCTTGTACCTTGAGAACGAGCGAAATATGATTCGAAATGTAGATGGATTCTGCAATAAAATCTATATACCGTGCAGTCCCGTAGGAAAAAGGAAAAAAATGTACTCGTCAGAGTATTAACCTCAATTTTAGTCAGATAATATCCAAAATCTGAAGCAGACATAAGTAAATTCAAGTGGTTATTCATAGTAAATTCCGAAATTATTTTGACGCCATATTACCACCGTTTCAGACTTTGGATCAACTCCCATAACTTTGCATGGTAAAGTTTTTTTCACGATAATGCTCGACTTATTTACGAGAGTTACAATGCGTAATTGGAATGGTCTATTTTAAGGAACTTTACACATAACTGCCTCCTACCAAAAATGCAGCAAATGCCGAGCGTTGAACCCGATGATGATTGACAAACAGCACCTGAACGACAGGTGTTAACTGCTCCTACGACGCAGTTCATCGGCGGCTGCAGTGGCTGGTAGCCAGCCGAACAGGTCGCTGAAAGAGGATTTCTAATGAGGTCTACGACAAAGGAGAATTTTTCTTACAAGCTCGCTGGCAGCATATGCCGGTAATTGCAGAAGCAGTCTTCGATTGGCAAACAGCGTTTGCAGGGCATCCGGAGCTCGACGAAATGTAGCAGTAGGTGAGTGGCTGTAAAGCCGTATAACCGGCCTTGCAATCGCCCTCTGAAAACGTAGTCATAGCATAATTTTTTGTCAACGACTACGTACCGGCTGTGCAACAGTAACGTGTGTTAGGAACAACGGGCGATAGATCACAAGTATAGCCACTGGGACATTCGGCCCCAAAACATGTTATGGAATTGTTGTTGAATTTGAGAGGTATTTTGTTGGACGGACACGGGTTGACTGGGGCTAAATGAATCGTCGTTAAACGAGTTGTCGGATACGGTAACGCGTGTGCGTACAAGAGCCCGGAGAGCAACAGTACGATTGCTGACGGTTGGCGTTGCTTCTGCATTCATAAGGAGATGGGCAGCCATTGCTGGAACATACCACTGGCGCACTGTTTTGAATTAGTGGTGTGGAACCAGAGGGACAGTAATCTAAAATCGAAATACGCTTGAGTCAAGGTTGCTGCATCACGGCTTCAGCTGCTTCCTACCAGGCCAGCCACAGCAAAACGCAGTTACCGACGACACTGAATTGATGGACGATACCGACAGCTGACAGTTAAAGCCAGCGGGACAATTGTTGGGGGCGGTGGAATGTGGAACGCATGTACGTGGCTTTCCGGCTTCCAAATACGGCTGCCCACCTTGAGGACACGTCGCTGAAATAGAGAACGAAAATTAACAAAACGCAATACAAACTGATAAATGAAAGTCATGCATAATTTGGAATCTAGTGCAATGATTAGAAGTGTTTGAAGCACATGCAACTCATGTCAATAATGAACAACATTCATAAAACCTTATTCAGATATGAACATTAAAATCAAGGCAAAACGGCTAGATCTTATGATTATTTGCCATTATCACTGCTAAGACAGCTCTTGAATGATCAAGAAGTTCTAAAATTTAATCTAGCATACTGTGCATCATTCGGTCAGATTTTCTTGTTCAGATGACCTTGTGAAACAGTATGAAATTTAGCAGTTATGCATGTGAATTAAAAGTTGTTCAAATGTAACCATTAGTGTTGCATTTCACCTTGAATTCTTCCGCAACAGAACGCATTCTGATACGCATAGCTGACAATACAGAAGAAGTTCGACGGGCATGTCGAAGAGTCAGGTACGCACTGCGTTGGGGTGTTGGTCAGCGGATCCATGTAAGCATCTAAATTGAAAACCAATGACCAACGGTTCCAACAAGGAACAGTAGATTTTGAATACTTGGATATGATCCAGTACAAGTGCCTACCGGCGCATTGCTGCCACAGCACACACCATGATTCAGCAGTGTTGAGATCACACAAAATTGATTGGTTGCGCACGTGTGGGACCCTACTGTACATGTCACCGCTTCTTTGCCAGGCGACAGCGCTGCCGTGGCACCCGATGGACAATCTAAATGTACAACAGATTAATGACTAATTAATCTAAATTAAGTGGTCATTTTAATTAATGATGACGGCTGTGAAAGAAAACAGCGATAAGTAGGAGAGTACAGTAGGAATATGGATGAATAACCAGTTAGGGGGGACACTAGCGTCTTCATAGAGCTGCTCATAGGTCTCCGCTTGAATTTATGGTAGAAAGACGACCTAATTCTAATTGCATTGAATTTGATGAGCTCCCAGACAAGACTGTGAAAATTCCACAGTTAGGTCGACCCTGTTGAATCATCATCGGTTGCTTGTGATCAATTTCGTAAGGTTAATCTTGGCTGATAGTGAGCATGCGCATTATTGCATAGCTTCTAAATGGAATGAAGTCGACATGCAAATAGGTCTGACTATAGCCAAAGATTCTGCAATCTGAAAAAGGGTTCTACATTGTGTTCTGAAAATAAATTGAGTGCATATGAAGCAAGTAGAGAAGGTTAAATGTCATGAGGTAACATTCACCCGTGTTGGAAAACAAGACATGAAGATATAAACATGAATCAGCCATTCGAAAACTGTATCATTCTGTGGTGAGGAGGGAGGATCTACGCGATAGCACGCAGAAACCCATCTTTAGATCTGTCTGAGTGCTTTCCTCACGCATGTTCATTAGTGCTAAATATTAATCGACAGAGTCTTATCCTGCATACAACCATCAGAAATAAGATTCATTCAGGAAGAATTGCGACGTGATTCATTAGAGAAAGTTTTGAATACGGTATTACGAGATATTTTTGACTGTATGCCACCATTCATCCACGATGGGAGAGTGATCAGGATGCACTGGGAAATGCTCAGAGCGTGAACTCTTCATGGCTAGATGACAAGCGTCCAAGAGGCAACCAGAGAACTTGACGGCTGAGGTATAATGAATGTCTGATAGGTATCACCTCAGAAAAGCTCATGATACTTGCTATTCGAAAATCCTACTAAAGCCGTTGCACTCTCATCTGAATGGCAAATGCAGGCTGCGAAAAAACGCAACAAAATTGAACGTCAAGGAGGTAGTATTTTCTCGATCAGATCAGTGAAACAAAGATTACATAGAATGACCGTGAGCCTTGGCATCATTGTATGAAATGCCTTACTTCAGGACTAACAGGCAGAAGTGAATAAACAAGTCGATGATGAAGCTAAGTAGTATAATTGGTAGTGAAAATGAATATTTATTGGGATTTGTACAGAAGATAAGACAGGGATAAGAATTAGACCATGACATAAAGTTATTCTTTAGATGTGACCTCACTCATTGCTGCCACTCTAATCGTGTGAAATACATACAGGAGCAGGATAAAAAGCTAAGCTGGATTCACCTCATCCTATGCAAAGAGAAAGCTACGCATATTAGAGAAACTAGCAACAGAGTCGCCGGTAGAACATGAAAATCAGCATCATATTTAATAAAATAGATTACTGCCAAACTTAAGGAGTGTGAAAATGATCAGAAATGGAGTTAGAAAAACCAGATAGAAGATTCTACTGGGATAAAAGCAAAATGCGAAAAAAAAATTAACGCTGATAGATCACTGATAAAAGAACGTTACGCTGGTGACTGGTAAAGAATGAAAGGAATAAACACACAATGCCGATTCCTCCCCCCTCCATTTCTCTGCGCGGAAACTCTTTGATCTAGAGAAGAGTCGTCAGCTGTTCTCACGGGTCGGCATTCTAGGCCGCACAGAGAGAGCAACCCGACAAAGAAGAAACCTGTGAAATATGATTTGCTAACGGTGCACGACCAGAAAGAAAGCATCTGCGCTTAACATTTGATTGGCCAGCCGACTGGTGCATGAACAGGAAGGAACCGTCTGACTGGCAGATTCATTGCCTCTTTGACAATGAAAAACACTATGAAAGGAGCCGCTCCTGTATACTGTGTTGACGACGAAATAAATGTGTTTCTACGCGTGTCTGTTCTTCCGAAACAAACCCTTCTGTCAAAAAGTCGCTGTGCAATGATACATAATAAAATATGCGGATCAAAGGAACGGAATCGAAAAAACTGCAAAGTTATCATTAGTCTGACTGGAGAGATTGATCCAAGAAGAATTACATTTTTATATTTGTTCAAACTAGAGTACGTGTCAATATTTTATTGTTCATGCGCAAACTTCAATATCTACCTAGCAACCTGCCAAGAAACTGTTTAAATTCATTTTGTAGTACCGATGCGAACTATTCCAGGCAAATGAATCCAGTGCAATCTGAAGTACCAGGAAAATGAGGTGTAATATATGCATGTTGAGTGCAGCCTATGAAAATATTGCGACAGAGAACCGTTTCCTTGCATAAGGAATTTTCTTTTTAATTATGGTAGGACGAACTCCGCCGCCGTATGGATCACCAAGCATGTATGAGAATAGAGGAGGGCTGGAGATTCGGGTGGTCCCCTGTAAACTCAGATACGTTTCCCTCATGGCATTGACGCAATAAAACGTTATACTGTCGTCGTCGGAATAACAACGGCCGCGACGGCTGATGGGGAACTGAGAATGACCGCGAAAAGGGGGCGATCGAAATCCTCACATTTTCCGGCAGCTGATGGTGTAGCAGCACGGAGACCACTGCGAAGATCTACTTGAAGATGATGAATGAAGAAGATACCAATCAGCAGCAGAATCGCTGCCATGTCTGAAGGATACAGACGGGGCAAAGAGAGGGAGTTCACAGTGAGGAATTGGAATATCTCATCCAGAGGAACAGAAGGTGCTTGACGATGCAGCAAGATGCCAGCCAAATATAGTTGAACCTTCGTCGAGGAAATACTAGAGTTCTGCCATTTCGAACGTCTCTGGATGAAAGCTTTTCTACGTTCACTGAGAGGAGGTAACATATGACAAATAAATATCTGTGAAAATGAGTTAGGCAAAATTTGACAAGTACAGGATACTCGAAGAACGAAAAGCAGCTTTTATACCAGGTGACAATTTTAATGACCTGATCAGATCGAAATCAAATTAAGTTATTTCTGGAAGCGGTTACCGGCAGAAAAGCAAAACAATTCACAAGCTTCTTTTGTCGCAAAGTTATTTTGAGTGCCTCCACAGCCATTGTATTGATACGGCTTGCACTTCTTTATAGCAGTATCGAAGCCATAACGGACGATAGTTTGACCGCTGCTTCCACACTGATTTCCGGCTTCTCTCGCCATTTTACAAATTGTACCTGAAAACCAACAATACAATGAACTTTATGCACATGTTACTGAAACGTACTTTTTTGAGGACAGCAGTAGCTGTTCTGAATGCCTGAACCGTAGCGACCACTGAACTGTACGCAAGAATATCCATAAGGGCAGCCATAGACATTGCCTGCACATGACAGGTACAGCTGAGTTTGTGGATTAATATACGGATTGCTTCCGTCTGGGCAGCCTGAAAGCAACGCACAGTATTACAAGATTTACACAGAGACTCATTGCTTCATACCCCCGGAGCTACAGTATCTGAGGCAGTCGATTTCAGTGGCAAAATTATTCGAATTCCCGCCGCAACCGTTGTAATTGAAAGTACCGCATTTGCCAAGTTGCTTGTTGTAAAACCAACGGGAAGACGATCCCCCGCCGCATTCAAAACCCGATTCTGGGTCGAGACTGCAAGTGTTAGCTAAAAGCAAGGCACTGAAATAATGCGAAGTCAATCAGAATGGTAGCCACTTCTGGTAGGGCAGCAGCCGTACTGCTGGCCATCGAAAAAGCAGTAGTAGTTTGGCGAGCATCGGCTCATTTGCGCGTTAGGCGAACATACCACGTATGTTTCATCGTGCATCTCCGGTAGACCCTGAGGACACTTAGGAGCTGCTGAAATGTATAAAAGCTAATTAGTTGCTTCATTTCGTAAACAATAAATTGATTCGAAAATAATAATAATGTAAGACAGTATGAAAAACCATCCAGTTAATGAATACTCACATCAAATTCTATTTGCATAATTGTCCCTGGAGGAATAAGAATATTCGATTGGAAGTCAGTGATTAGAAAGATCACAAACAACAAACGAGTTTTCAAAGATCGTGAGAATCGTGATGCGAATAATGGTTCCGAACGGAACCTAGCAGTCCAGCAGCAACAAATTAAGTTTGAAACATGAGGAGTGAGTAAAGGAGGACAATGATCGATACCAATCTGGTCGAAACGGAATAAAACTTATAAGTAAGACTTCGTCTTGGTCTTCCTGCAGGGAATCAGAAGACCTATCAGCTCCAAGTCATTCATGGTATACCGGTATGAGCTTTAAAAAATACTTAAGAGATTCGTATGATCAAATTCCACTTGCACGTCTCGGCAGGTTTATGTTACACTTATGAATGTTGAACGATGCCAGTTTGATCGAAACATTAAAACACACACAGAACCTACAAACTGTCCTAAAAGGGCTATGGAAAGAATATCGAATTATAGGAATTTCGCTTATCGCGCCTTTGTTACTCTCAGACTACCTCACAGCCGTTTTCCATGCATAATGTAAATAAATAGTGAAACTCGCTGAACCAACAAAATTAAAAGTTGATGAACTTGATATCGAAGAATTGATTTGCTCACATGGGAGTGGATTATGAAAAAAAGAACTCATCGAATTAAAAGCTGTGAAAGTTGCTAACATTGAGGCTTCGGTATCAAACGAGAAACCGAAAAAGATGCCAATCACACCCGTGAGATTTCAGCAGGATTGGCACGATTTGAAATAATTTGTCCTAATGCTTGACGGTCTTTGAAAAACTAGAAGGAAATAAAAATGCAGTTGTCACTCTAACTTGTCATGGAGTGACTTATGAACAGAATAAACAAGCAATTGCTCAGCCATCTCTTGATACTTTTATAAGAGAGTCGAACGGCAAAATCAAACATTTTTCTATTTCTTCCAAATGCTTGTACTATATTACTTTAGATTAACAATGACATATTCAAGTCTAATTAGTATCCGCATCCTGTGAATGAAGCTAATTAAAAAAATCTTTGAAACATGTTGACAGACTACTTGTACTACGATTACTAGTGTACTATTGGTATTGATGTGCTGTCAACACGTTAGCAATAGCGTATGATTAGCGGGTAGCGATTGGCCAAATCTAACTTATGTAAAATTCGTGCTATGTACAGTTTTGTGCAACGTAACTCTTATTTAAATTTGCAGACATGCCCTGATTTATTTTTCTTGTTTTTCTATGATACCAACCATGGAATCAGAAAACATATGAGCTTCATTATATCAATACTTTAGACATTCAAATTGGAAAGCTTCAAGATTCGTGTTCAAATATATTTGTCATCGATTAATTTGCAGCAGTGAATTGTAGAAATGTCTGAAGTTGCCTTTAAAACTTACGCTGAACAGAAGAGCAAACTTTCATGCAGCTGCTGTATGAATCGAAATTGTTAGAGTTGCCTCCAGAGCCGGTGTATGCAAAGCTTTCACAACTCATCGCCTTAGGATTGTAATACCAGCGAATGATGCTGTACCTTCCGTTGCCGGCATCCATGCGCTGATTGCAGACGAAGTCTTAAAAAAAGTTCATGTAGCACCACCGAGTAACGTAAGTGTATATGTTTTATTGATTGAGACATTTTGCTCAAATAGTACCCACACGAATACCTTAATCTACATATATAAATAATAATCTTATGACATTCAGGAGAAAAAAAAGATTTTACAGTGCATAATTTAAAAACATAGAAACAACCTAGTTCTGCCTTTAAAGAGAGAACAAAGAACAAGAGATCGAAGACAGAAATCAGAATAAATCATTCCTTTCACTGAACGAAGCTGCCATAAAAAATCAGAATATTCACTCTATCGTTTTCAGCATTTGCGAATCAGGCATAAAATTAAACATTTTACTGTAACTGAGTAGATGATACGCAAAAAGATTACAATGGATTTGAAAAGAAATAAACAAGCATTTTCTTGTCTCTGGAAAACGTCGATGTTCTTCTGCATTG